TGCAATCATTAACTTAAACAAAAATTGAAACTACAACATGATCTAACAGAGACATATTAGATGGTTAATTACAATAAAAAATGAACTCATAGGTCAGACGCAAATGAAATATAAGAAAGAGCGAGGAACTACTATGAAAACGTACACATGTAGGCAATGTAGCAGACTAGCATATACTAACCTAGTAACCTCTATTCATTAGTGGGAACAGTTCAACTTCATATTTGCCGGTACACAATGTTGACCATTAATATACAGAGACACAGAGTATTATTTATCCATTAGCAAAAAAAATTATAGAAAGTTGATATACTGATAATATACATTGACGCACACTTAGTACAAAAATGCAGTCAAAGTAACTACTATGAAAACGCACACGTGTAGACAATGCAGTACACCAGTATATACTAACCTCTATTCGTTAGGGAAGTTTGACTTCATATTTGCCAACACACAACATTGACCATTAATATACATTTATACAGAGTATTATTTATCTATTAGCAAAAAACTACAAAAAGTTGATAAATTGATAATATACAATTCTACATTGACACGCACTTAGTACAAAAATACAGTCAAAGTAAGATATGTTTCTTTAAACTGAAAAAGAACAGAAATGTAGTTTTTTTTTTCAATATTTTCCTTCTGCTCATTCCAAAATAAGGTCTTTGTTTCTTATACGAGGAGAATTGTATGATTCATCTCATTTCTCTCTCCTCTAAATACAACTCAAGCACCCGATTTTATTTTCTCAATAAATGTGTCATAAACTCAAATCACACCAATAACCTTATTTTGGGAGGGGGAAGTACTTCTGTGATGTTGCTAATAAGATGCAATATTAATGCATTACACACACCATGTGTGCCACTATTTTTTTGCTTTACGTTTTTCTCTATTCACTATTTTCATCTCATCTTTAGTAACATTTGTGTAACTCGCATTCATTCTTACTTCTTACTTTTTAACATCAATATCAACAGTGCAAATTCACTTTTCTTAATTTGTGTGCTACTATCCCATGTCCCAAAAGCAGCTAGAGTAGACAGAGTGTGTGCTCATGCGTGTGCATAAGTATGAGTGTATGTATATACACTATGTTGGATGGCTTATTTTTTTGTAAACTAAAAAGCACTGAAAACAGGTGTGCTTATTAATATCAGCATGAATTGTGATGATCACATAATGAACTGCAGAATTCATTGAGGGAAATTATATAAAGGCCATTTATGTTTCATAATTACCAACCTTTGAAAATTCAGTACCAATAATATCTGGTCTTGTGGAGAGAGACTGACCAACTGCAAAACATAAAAGACAAACCAAGAATGTGGTATTTATCGACGGCTTGAAAAAACATAAATGTTTGTTCAATCAGCGAGCAATAAAAGAAATCATGGAAATTTAAATTAAAAAAATTATAGCACTTCCATTTCCTTAACTCAGAAGATCTATTATCTTACTTTTTATAAAAGTGGGGCCCAATCTTAGCAATGTCTCCTTTAATACACTTCCAAATATGTATTGTGAAGTTTCCCTATCAACTTCCTTATTTACAGTGGGAAGAATCCCATAAATCTGAAATATGATCGCAGTAGATGCAAAGGCAACAAATACCTGCCAAAATAAAATGGCAAGCAAAAGGAACAGCTTAGTAAACAGCCATTTTAAGTCATCAACAGATTGCTTTGAAATCTATTCACTATGTTGTCCCCTTACAGTTATAACATGGATTTTATGGTCCAACGACAAAACTACCAAAGTACATGATACTTTCCAGCATCAAAATGAAAGGAAAAATCAAAAGACTAGAAGACAAACATCTATTACGGACTTGCTAGCCTCTTCCAAAACATTCCTCCCTCCCCCCCTATGTTTGATTGTGACGATTCATGCTAATAGAGGCTTGGCACTGAATTGATAGTGAAGAGTCCAACATCAAATTATTAGCCAGTTGAGTGACCCTTTAGTTTAACTACTCTGCATTATAGCCGGTTGAGTGACCCAACTCAAGTATAATATCAGAGAAACGACAAAAGCTAAGACTTATAATTCTGTCAGAGAGACATTTTGGCTACCTCAAGAAGACGGAAAGCAACAACGTGAGGCCTCAAATTGAAATAGTCAGCAACTTCCTGAGGATCATAGTTTTCAGGAAGCGGTCTGGTCCATAGCTTAGAGAGACAGTAGAAATAGTTGAAGTATGCCTTCAGTGCTTTGAGATCAGCCACAAACAAATCCAATCCAGACAGTTCTGTCGACATTGTCAATGCTCAAATGTTAACATACAATAATAAAACATGATACAGTCAAAGCATCGTTGGTGCGAACCACTCGCGAATGACTGACCTTCCTTAAACTACTACGGACTCTCCCTTTCCTTATTTTGATTAGCCCTACCACTCAATTCACACCCGTGATTGCCATTGCTAACAATTTTTAATTAAAAACGCACACAAACAGGGCAAAATCAAACATGATATGAACTGTGCGAGTTCAATTAACATCAACAGACAGATTTTACAGCATTGCAGCACGTATAAGCGAACCTGGGTACCAAGGCTGAGGCCACTGATTAGGGCTCCGAAGCTCGGCTGAAGAAGGCTCCTGGTTCTCGATAGTCCGTAGCCAAACCAAATCGCTAACGGATTTCGAGAGATTCGGAAGTCTAAGAGCCTGGTTGGCCCATCGAAGGCCTTTCTGTAAAAACTCCGAGTCCTTGCGAATCACCTTCTGCTTCTGGACAGCCTTGCTCTTGTTCTTCTTCTTCTTCACTGTGGTGAAAGGGGCGGCGGCCTTGGCGGAGCAGAGAACGGAGGTGGAAGCGGCCAAAGGCGTGGCCGGGAAAGCCATTTCTGTCGCCTCGTCAATAACGGATGTTATTCTAGTAGGTGCTCTGCATTAACAAGCGTTCTGTATGGCCGGCAAAGGTTGTCCTGTTGGAATGGAAGGTGTGCAGCTTGAAAAGATAACATGAATGTTATCTCTAACTTTATTTTTTGCCATGACATTTGGGAACCAATGTGATAAATGACTCGGAGTGCTCCGGTGCCTCGTTCGTAAAATTGACGGTTCCTACCCCCTTAATTCCCTTGATAAACCTCCACACCCCACTTCGACCCGAACACACCCCCCACCCCCTTCAATTACACCCTACAGGTTGATTTTGATTTTAGAGTCAAATTTTGACTCCAAAGTCAAAATCAACATGTGGGGTGAAATTGAAGGGGGTGGGGGAGTGTGTTTGGGTCGGGGCGGGGTGGGAGGGTTCACCTAGGGGGTTAGGAGGGGTAGGAACCATCAATTTTACGAACGGGGCACCGGAGTGCCCCCGGGTCATCCCATGATTCCCAATGTCATGGTAACCTTGGTGTTATTTTTTATGACTTTAAAATTAATTTATATTATTAAAATTTTATTCAAAACACTAACGTGATTATATTGTTCTTAAACAAAACATTTTGAGAAAAGTGGAAAACCATCTAAATATGAGTAAAACCTATGTTATATCCTTAAATTAAGAATTCAAACTTAAACTCCTCTAAATAAGAGTAATTAATTAAATTTTGTTTTTCATTTAAACAAATCACTCAAACTACTCGAATCTATTTTTGATCGATTATCCTAGATCAATTCCAATCGATCTCCCACTCCTCTCTCCTCACTCGATCAATTCCAATTGGGATCGCCACCAAATCGCAGGCTACTGCCGCCACACTCAGTCGCATGCTGCCGCCCCTACTTCTTGAGGAATTTGGAAATAGTTTTCATTAATCGAGCTTCTTGTTCGTTCTCTTCCAAACCCAGCATGATCCCCACTTTGTTCCATAATCATATCTGAAATTATTACTTAGATGAACCCCACAATCGCTTCAAGGGGTGATTGGTGTGATTTGTGAATTCTAGTTATTAATTAGGTGATTCTAATTTGCTTCTATAGAAAGGTAGAAAATTTTAGCATTATATTAGCATTTATCGGTGTTGGTATTGTGATGTCACTGTATGTTGGCAACACCTACATTGTTTTTAGCATTTTACTTTGCATTTTACATTATACATTATCATATTTAACATTATACAATGACATATTTGTCATTATCCAGTGACATATTTGTCATTATGAATTACCATTTTTAACATTATATTTACATTTTTTTTAACAGTTATTTTGGCACCATGGCCATGTGATCGTGAAAGTGGTAGATTGTGGCAATGTCGGGGGTGGCGACAAAGCACGACAACAACGACGTAAAAAACAAATGTGATTGAAGTGGCGGCATGGGCGGTGTTGTCGGCGGCATCACAAGTGGCGGTTAGAGATCAGAGCCGATGTCGACGGTGAATAGGGCGGTGCATCGCCGGCATCGTCGGTGACGCCATCGTCGGCACCGGTTGGGTTGCTACCATCACTAGCAGTTGTATGTTACATTTGAGTAACAGAAGAGTCATTTTAAAATTTGTAAATGTTACTTCGTATAATATAACTTCTATTTTGGATATTTATTTTTACTCCTAACTTGATATATTGTTAATGTTTTACTGCTATTGTGACCCTTACTCCTAGAAGGTGTGAAGAAGTATATGCACAATGATATGAAGTATTAAAAACTAGATGGAAAAATTAAAAAAATAAATTGAAATACTTTTATTGACCAAAAAGTCTAATACTTCCTCCGTTCATATTATTGATTACGGGCATGTTTGGGAATAGCGTTAGAAATTAGCGTTAGCGTTTTGGATAAAATTTTGACGGTGCAGATTACTTTGAAAACGCTAACGCTAAACACTGCCCGTAGATAGCCTTTTCAAAACGCTAACGCTATTCCCAAGTATGCCACTTACCCACTATCTTGTTCGGATCGACCTCCCGTCCAATTTTCAAAAGCTCGCCACGTAGATTTGAACAATGGCATGGGAGTGAACCTGAGCCACAAAATCCGGCTCCGATCTAAAAATCCCTTGCAATTCCACGTGCCCCAATTACACAAGATAATCTATCTTCCTTCCCGTTGTGAATACTCCGTTATCTATTAATCGTCTTCTTCCATTTTTCTGTCTCCTCTTCCCAGTTCCCACCGCTCAAAACACAATTACTGTAATTCTAAGAAGAATTAAACAAACAAACAATAAAAATGGCCTCCAAGGCAATGATGACGAGCTGCGGCGTTGCGCCACTCTGCTCCTCCTCGCTTTTCTCTTCTTCCAAGCCCAAAGTCTTCCTCGCCGCCGCGCCGTTTCCCGGCGCCGCCTCTAATGTGACCACCTCCGCCGTCAAGGCCACCATGTCCTCCTCCGACTGGATGCCCGGCCAGCCCCGCCCTCCCCACCTCGACGGTTCTGCTCCCGGGTGATTATATATAAACTTCCCATTTCTGTTGCTTCCCTGACCTATCTAGCTTTATTATTAACCAAACTTATTGCTTCTTCATCCCCAAATTTTAAATGTATGGTTTGATTTTAGGGATTTTAAGATCCATTTTAGGGATTTGAAGAATATAAGATCCATTTGCAAACATTATATTATTAGAGCATTTTAGTGGGAAACCTAATTACACACATTTTGTATCTTCAATGGTCTCTACAATGTCACAACACTTAAGTAACTCTATATATAAGCATTTTACATATACTTTAATGGTAAATTCAAGCAATTCACAACTCAATAGCATTAAATCATTCAAAAATATTTTGATAATATTGTTAACACCAAAGATTGTGTGTGTGTGTGGAAGTGAATGTAAGTTTTTGTGCGTGTATGTGTTTGCCTTTGATTCGCAATAGCTCTTCCATAACGTCAAAACTCAACTCTAATGCGAATTAAATAAGGCCTTTTACATATATAGTGAGATTACGACATTGCAGAGACTTTGGTTTCGACCCACTTGGTTTGGGGGAAGTGCCACAACTCCTCGAGAGATACAAAGAATCTGAACTAATCCATTGCAGATGGGCTATGCTTGCCGTGGTACGTCATTGATTAGCCATTTCTAAGTTAAATGGTCATAAGCCATTTAAATCAGACTAAAAATAGATTGAATCCAATCAATTATCTAGTTCAACACAGTGTATGTTGGTTGGTTTGGACAGCCAGGAATTTTGGTCCCTGAGGCAATGGGGTTGGGGAATTGGGTAAAGGCACAAGAGTGGGCAGCAATTCCAGGAGGGCAGGGGAGCTATTTGGGACAACCTGTCCCCTGGGGCACCCTCCCCACCATCTTCGCCATTGAACTTCTTGCCATTGCATTCGTAGAGCACCAGAGAAGCATGGAGAAAGATACAGAGAAGAAGAAGTACCCAGGGGGAGCTTTTGATCCCCTGGGCTACTCCAAGCAGGATCCTGCAAAGTTCCATGAGCTCAAAGTCAAGGAGATCAAGAATGGTGAGCAATGTTATTATAAGTTTCCATATTACGAGAATGTTTTGTTTCCATATTGGCTGGAACCTTCATTGTTTAATAAGACCAATTATTATCAAATTGTATCATCTCATGTGAGACGTGCAGGACGGCTAGCATTGTTGGCGTTCGTGGGGATATGCGTTCAGCAGTCGGCGTACCCGGGAACAGGGCCGCTGGAGAACTTGGCAGCCCATCTGGCAGACCCATGGCACACCAACATTGGAGACGTCATCATCCCCCCTTCTCTTTTCCATTGAAATATGAAAGAAAGAAAAAATGGCATGGATTCTTGTAATTACACTACTACTTAATTCATAACTCCCAGGAAATGATTAACTATATTACCTTGGCCGAGCTCCTCCATTAATTACATGTGCATCTTTGGGTCCATATTGTCATCTTTGAGCAAAGAAAACCAGGTTTGGTTCTTTGCATGATTTTCTTGTCAAATGGAGTTCCTATGCCCAAAAAAAATGTACAAAAATTATCACAAATTTTTTTAAGAATTTTTTTATTTCCTCAAATATCCTCAAATAAGTATAGAATAAGGGTTGGTTTAGTGAGTCGTCCAGGATGATTTATATGATATGAGTTCTAAAATTTGAACTAAATGATATGCATGTAAGTCTCATCGATCTAAAATGATGGTTGTTTATAACAAGATGTGATCGACGGGCAAGTAGGAGTACAAATGTAGACGAGGAAGGATAGAAGTTATTTGGAAGACCTTCTAGAATATGTACTAGGCTAAAATCCACCATTGGTCCTTCAACTTTATCAGTTGTGCACGATTGATTCTTCAAGTTTCAAAAGTCCATAAATAGTCCTTCAACTTTATGAGTTCTGCACCATTGGTCCTTCAAGTTTCAAAAGCCCATAAGTAGTCCTTCAAGTACACATCAGCCCTCTATATGAAGTCCTTTTGACAGTAAATATTAAAAGTTAAACGAAATACTAGTTTCATATAATACGAGTAAATTCCACTAGGTACGGCTACTCCGTATTATATGGAGCTAGTATTCCATTTAGCTTTTAACATTTACTGTCAAAAGGACCTCATTTGGAAGGCTGACGTGTACTTGAAGGACTATTTATGCACTTTTAAAACTTGAAGGACCAGTCGTGCATAACTCATAAAGTTGAAGGACTATTTATGGACTTTTAAAACTTGAAGGACCAATCGTGCACAATTAATAAAGTTGAAGGACCAATAATGGAGTTTAGCCATATGTACTATCTACATCTCTCATCCTAAAACTAACTTTCTTTTGTGTTTCACGATGTTTGATTGAAGTTATTTTTAATTCAATTTATTTAGAAATTTGTGTACAATTTAAAAATAAAATTTATATATTTAAAAATAAAACCGTTCTTCACATTGTCGCTAATCACCTTTTTCATGAACTCACTAAACATATCGATATCGATTGTCACTTTGTCCGAGATGAAATTAAAAAAGATCTTCAAATGGTACATATCCCCTCTATTGATTAACTCGCTCATATCCTTCTTTACTAAGACACTTAATTGCCTGAGTGCTGTTTTCGTATCTATTGTTCAAACTCGGCACCCGTAATCTACATGCTCTAGTTTGAGGGGATATGACGAAGATCTTCGAGAGAGTTCTACAAATGTTATTTTGGTTCCTACCTTATCTCAATTTCTTTCATTTTATATAGTGCATTTTGTTTTCTCTCTATATAAATAACACGTGGATTTAACAATTAACTATTCCTTCCGTCCCCCTGTATTTGTCCACATTTGACCTTTGGAACTGTTCATCTAAGCATTTTGACTCATCAAATTCTCTCAATGTGTAAGTGTAAATATAGTCATGTGTGATCTTGTTTGATTTGTCTTAACGTATAGATTATTAATATATAATTTTTATAATTTTTTAATATACAAATTACAAGATAAAATGGATTAAAGAAATGCATTAGATGGTGTGTAAAAATGAAAGTGGACAAATACAAGGGGACGGGGGGGTAGAACTTTTGAAAATATCCAAATACTTCCTCCGTCCCAAAAAGTTTGTTACGTTTAGAAAAAACTGCGTCTCGTAAAGTCCGTTACATTTCTATTAAAAAACCACTTTTACCCCTTACTTTTTCATACCTTATCTATCACATCATACCTTTTTCCTAATAATCTACGCATCACATTCTACTTTTACACATCACATCAAGGGTATTTTTGGAAAGTCAATACCAAAATATCCCTACCTTAATTTCCCACAAAGTCAAACCGTCCCATTCTTTTTGGGACAGAGGGAGTACAAAGTATTATTCTACTCTTTTTAAAAAGTTAAACCTAAATGTTGAAATTATTGTGAACCAAGTCCATAGTAACATGACAAATTTTATTCGGGTCTTAAGATCCATTATAGACCTATATATGAGCAAAATAAACATATCTTATTACTTAAATAAGAAAATATTTTTTTAAATAAAAAAAATTATGTGAAAAGATCTAGAAATTACATGTGGAGGCACGCAATGGTGTAGCCATCCATCCATTCATAGCTACTCTGATCATCTGAAGAATACAAAATGTCTAGAGATAGCTCATGTTTTCTTGAACTTATTACTGGAATCAATTCAGTTCATATCATATATCTTATTATATCAGATCAGAAACAACTTTAAATATAACTACATTAAGATTAGATTAGATTAGAATTTATTCCAATCAGATCAGAACTATTTAAATGAGGTGAAAGGACACATATTGGCTGAAATCACAAAGCTAGAGGAATTGAACTCATCATTTATATTATGATCCATATATATTTTGTGAAACCGAATATATCTATGTGTATATGGACCATGCATGTGTGATATATACATAGCTTGTACATATAGATAGATAGATAGATCTCTCTGAGATGATACATACATATCATATGCCTCCAAGACAATGAGGACATACCTTTTTTATGACATTTGTTTTCTTGTGGTTTGTTTCTTTGTACCAAACCGCTATTCCCTTTCATTCCCATGTTTCTTTCCACATAGTATTTGAACCACTACCTTCTTTTTTAATTTTCTTCTATCCCACATCAAAAAAAATGAAAAGAAATTTAACAAATTTATAAACTCTTGATTAAACTGGTTATTTAATCGATTGGATCCAATTTTTTAATATGATTTAATCCAATTTATCTTATGATCTAGTGCAGTGATCCATGCCACATTCTTTTCAAAATTGCTAACTAGCTACAGTAGTCTACACTAAAGTGATAACATTTGAAGTTTGGAACCTGGTAATAAGAATTACTACTAGCTAGTAGATTAAAAACAGTGTACCTTCTTTTTTCTTCGTTTGACTTTTTTTGGTGAATATATTTTTAAGTTTGATAATAATATTTGTAAATGTCTTTAATTATTAATTACCTCTTGGTTCCCATAACATTGGGATCAATGTCATGAGATGATTCGGAGGTGCCCTGATGTCCCATTCGTAAAATTGATGGTTCTTACCCTCCTTTAAACCCGGTAATCCCCACCCTGCCCCGACTCAAACACACCTCCACCGTACCCCTTCAATTATACCCCAAAGTTAATTTTGATTTTAGAGTTAAAATTTTAACTCCAAAGTCTAAACTAACTTGAGTGTGTAATTGAAGGGGATGAGGGGTGGGGGGTTTACTGGAGGGGGTTAGGGAGCTAGAAATCGTCAATTTTTACGAACGAAACACCGGAGCACTCCTGATTTATCTCATGACATTGATTCTCAATATCATGTGAACCGGCTCAAATTAATTAGGAGTATTATATACCATTCCGTATGGGCTTGAGTTCAATGATTGGAATGAAAAACGCAATTTTCGCTAAATAAAATTTGCTCCACTATTCTCACATACTCTCATATATGATCGAATTGTAAAGATATAACTTTATTTGAAAGATCATAAATACTCCGTATATATTTGTGACTTTCTGTTTTAAAAATGACAAAAAAATTAGGGACATTCCGTAAGATTAAATATCTGCAAGTTTTTGAAAAAAATATGCATGTATACAAAATAAATGTTCATATTCATAATTTAGGGTCATTTCCCAATAAGTGAAGAAATGGGAATTCCATTCCCAAAGAGTGAAACTCAATCTAGTGAAACTCAATCTGACACGCTGGGGTAATCTGACATTTTTTTAAATTTTAGACCATCTACCGTTTCATCTTTTAAATTTTTCAAACGGTAGACCATCTACCGTTTGGTCATTATTTTATTTTTTTTAAATTAAAAAAAATAAATATCTATTTCTTTGTTGTTTTAAAAAAATGTAAATGGATTTTTTCAATAAAAATATTTCATAGATTTAAATCCACGTATATATGTATATTTTGATTTATACATAAAATATTTCATAGATTTAAATAATTTTATTATGTTAGGTTAATTGTATGGTATATTTTATATTGTTATATAGAATTTATTGAAAAGATTTTTTTAAAAAAAATATTTTAAAGAACATTGAAATGAATTTTTAAAAGAACATCTTAAGAATTATTAAAGTACAGAAGCATTCAATTTAAAACAGAAATTAAAACGAACTACTAATTATTAATAATCAGACATATTTAAAGTACATAAATTTAAAAATCAAACTGCTTAAGTAAGAAAACATAAATGTAACACATATTTAAAAAACACACATAGAAATTCCTAAATGAACTAAGTAGCACCACGACGCCTTCGCGGTCGCATTAAATAATTTTTTTAAAATGACGAAACGGTAGATTGTCTACCGTTTGAATAATTTTTCTATCTGACAGCACTGATCCGGAACACTTTTTTGGTAGCTGCACTGTCCGGGAATTAAATCCATAATTTATTCTGATCTATTTCTGATGTATTACGGAGTACAAAAATATAATGATGAGAGAATAAAATGTACTGTGTATTTTATTTTGGATAAAGTACTTACAAGGTCTTTATATTTTTTAAAACTGCTTTTCAAGTCTCTGAACTGCTTACAAGGTCCCTGTATTTTTTTAAGAAGTGTTTCACAGGTTCTTAAATTATTTTTAATATTTATTCAATCCCTTTTATTTTTAACAGGTGCTTTAGTGGTCCTTTTGGTGGCTTTTTCAGGCCAAATCTCCTAAAATTGTTGTAATAATTGACGTTATATCATAAATTTTTGAATAACTTGTGTGTGTTGCTGAAACAATTTTCGCACACTTGATCTAAAAAATGCCAAAGAAGGGACTATGTTAGCGGATATTTGTAAATAACCGTAGATATCATGTTATTGGGTCCATACCTGTTAGCCCGTTTATGTACTTGTATATATATCGGTTTGTGATTAATGAAAATCAGATCAGTTTCCGCTAAAATTCTACATGGTATCGGAGCCAATAACCTAGGCTTCTTCACGTTTCTGCTCTCCGGCGTAGGGTTCACTGCCGTCTTTTTCTTCTT